AAACCTTAACTTTAGTGTTAATAATGGATTCGTTTGCTCTCCTGCCTGGGTTTCAATTATACTGAGGTCAAACGGTTTCCTTCTTCAAGGGGGTCCTTCCCGAACCACGAGAAGGGAATCTCAGAAATCTGTATTGGATTATTTGATTTATGTGGAACATCGTCGAGTATTGTCTCCCCCACCACCTCTCCCCAACATTTCCAGTCCTTACACCTCCCCCTAGTAATTCAGAAGGCCAGAGGAGGGTCCAATTTGAAAAGAAATCAATAAATAAATAAAAGCAGGAGTCCTCCCACGGAGATTAAAAACACACACAGCCTAAACATGTGTTTTTAAAAGCCCATGTTCTGCATTAACAACCCTGTAATGCATAACAGCAAAGCGCTGAGATTATGAGTATGGGAAGGCCTTCCCTCCCAAACCTACAGTACTCTCAACACCTCGATTTTCATGACCCCTGCTTCCAAGTAAGCATGTCCAGAAGGAAAAATAATTCCAATATTATTTGCCCCTTTCAAACTTAATGGACTATGCAATGCATATTACAAGTGTCTTCCACATACACATCACAACAACGAAGTGATTAGGAAAATCTCAGGGTTTAAGTAGAATTTGCTTCTACCTGGTGGGCACAATACACTGCAATCCTTTGAATTGCAGGTAAGGTTTTTGAATTAAATGGGATTTACTTCTGATTAGGCATACACAGGATTGTGCTGCCAGTAAAACAGAAGTTTATTAAACCACTGAAAGCTATTTCCCATATAATCCCATCTGGTAGATAGGAAAGGCAGCCTTAGGCCTTTTATATAAAGAGAGTGATAACTTGTTCATCCTTTGTTTTATATTAAATTATTTTTTAATATGCTCACAATTGTTATATTTTCTTATTAGAGTTAGGGAGGGGTATGACAAAACATGTTTTTATTGTTTGAAGATAACTTTGCTGACCTGGTTAAAAACACAAATACATTTAGATTGCAATCTTTTATACACTTCTCCGAGAGTAAGCCTCATTACATTAAATTGGCTTACATCCCAATAGATATGTATAAGCCAAAAGATAATTTTAGTTATGTTTGCTCTGCAATATATACCCAAAAATGCCATTTTAGATGCAAGCAATATACTTTTATGGGAAAAGAATTATGTAGGGGTGAGAACAATAATTTTGGCCAAAACGTCCCATTCGTTCCCAATCACACCTTTACAAGCACATCCTAAACAAGCTTACTTAGAAATATGTCTCATTCGTTCAGTGGGATAGACATTACCGCTTATAGTTAATTTCATTTTTTTAAAGCTTCAGATGTTTCATTTTTGAAAATGCACAACTTTTGTAATAGACACATAATGCTAATTCCAAAGTGTTGATTTTGTTGCTGCTTTAAAAAACCGGTGCAACACACTGCAAAGAGGTGTTTTTAAAATATGAAATAGCAAAAATATGTATCTCTTCTATGGTTATTAGGATATATATTTTCTACTAAATCATCTGTGTGATGACACATTACTTCACAAAATAGTAACTGAATGTAAAACACACTGAAAACATGCACACACGCGCCCTTTTTAAAAATTAAAAAACAGAAAAAACACCCAGAAATCTGACGATAAACTCCTGCTGGATCTGTAATTGGACTTAGAGGGTGCGATCTGAACACATACTCTAAGTTCCGGCGAAACCATTCAGATGTCACAAAGTCAATTCGTTTAAATTCTAAACTTGACCATCAGAAATGGGGGGAGGGGGAAGAGAATCAGGCCAGAAATAATAGTGTTTCTCTTTGGCAGCCCGCTGGTAGTCAGGGTGTGAATCAAACACGGATGTTATTTAGACACACTGTCATTTCCCTTTCTACTCAGGATCCCTAATTTAATTTAGATCGGTGTCTACCGAACAAGCGTCATTCTAATGTGATCTTTGGCTAAGGCTGTTTAAAAAAAAATAAAATCTTCAAGCGCTTCCGATAGCTAGGAGTTAAACGCAGAGAAAGTAGCCCTTGCTTTGAAGTGAGAGTCAAACAACTGCTGTTCGCAGAGGCGGGAACTAAGAAAAAGCTTCGGCGACCCTCAGCCATCAGGTACAGACATAGGCAGGCCATTTGAAGTGACGTCCATTCCTGGGTCTTATTTATTTCTTGCTTAAAAAGAGGTTTCAGCCTTTTTCAGAAGGTCATCTTGTACTGTCTGGGGTATATATAAATATAAATCAGGCCCGGGATGGATGGGAGGCAAAGGAAATCTTTATCTAAGATTTATTTACCCAAGGGCACGGCTATCCTTGATCCCTCTCCTCTGGAAGCGGAGAGTACAAAATGCTCGTTTTTCTGGCCAGGCGGGAGGCCTTAATAGAGCCGAAGTGTTCCGGAGCGGACCGGGCTCACCGCTGGCGGTGTGCACAGAAAGACAGATCTGGCCCTCGTCGATGAGGAGGGGAAGAGGAGCAGCGGTTCAAAACGAAAGTAAGGGTGAAGCGCCGAGCTAGACAGGCTCAGCAGACGGGGAGGGGGGGGAGCCACAGGCAGCCCGAATTCTCTGCAGGCGAATTCGAAGGCAAACCTCCGTGTGCTCCTTGGCCCTCACTCCCAGGTCAAGAGAACACAGGGGCGCGGCGTTTGCTTTCCTCAGCGTCAGCTTACAGCACGTTTTCAGGGAACGGATCTCACCGAAAGCTCATCGGACAAACCCGGGACCGATTCGGACATAATCTCGATTCCGGCTATTCTGGGGTACTCGCACCTCCAGGACTTGTGTACGAGAGTTTGTGCACCTCCCCACCTCCCGCGTGCATTCATAAGCCGAGATGCCTTCCCTAGTTCTGCAGGGTACAATTTCGGAATGGTTGTCAGGAAGAGGCGCGTAAAAGGGGCTTACCTACCTCTGACTTGCTACCTTCTTTAGACGGGCTTCGCACGACCGAGATCGCCCCGCGAACGACCCTAGTGCTTTCGTCGCGGCATTAGATCCACGCGGAGGAGGCGGAAAACTCCACCGGAGTGCCTTAAAGCGGGCGAGTCCCCGGGGTTTCAAGCATGTTAGGGAGGGATCTGGAGGAATCAGCGAGGCGGTGGAGGAGGCCGAGCCCTCCCGCGTCTCTCGGCTCGGAAGTGGGTCAAGTCCCCGCTTGCTCTAACGGCCCCGCATAGAAGAAGGTCTTCCTAACTGCGCTTCTTTCCGAGCCCCTCGCCTTCGACTCTAGCGAAGTTTGATACAAGTCTGGAACTCCCCCTCCCAGATCCATCACATTTCAGCAGCTTAAGTGGCGTGCAGCTCTGTCCCCGCCCGCAGGTCCCACCCCAAGCCGCAAGGATTCGAATGTTCACGGCTTGAACATTCTAACCACGCCCAGCCCCGAACGTTCACAAGGTTGTAAAGTTCTGAGACCGCCCCCGTAAAATCCCGCCTCCACTCCCTTTTCCACCACTCTGTTTACTTCTGTTTGGATAGCAACTAGCCTTTAAAGGGACAGTGCTCCTTTTCGCTCCATCCCAAGAAGCTCATTACCTAAAGTGACTTTCTCCTGTGAGAAAACACATTCGGTTCATTAATCGTATCTTCCTCCCTTACAGTTCATTGACCCTGAGTACATCAGCTGCAGGAACTTCGGTAGCTAGCTCAGAGCAAGCCCCCAAATGTAAACGTCCCCAGAACAACATTTCCAGGACCAGGAATGAAAGTTGCTAATTTTAAGATTTAGATATTTTATTTAGCCGCAGATTAACCACATCGATGTAAACTGATCGCTTATAAACCTCCGTTGACTCGTCTAATCTTGGCAATTTTTTTCTTCTCTTACCCCCCCCCCCGGTCATGGGATAGTGAGATTGCCAGTTTTACACACCGCCACGTCGTTACAGCGAATGCATGGTATTGTTGTGGTTGGTAGTGGTGGGGTGGTGACAGCAGCAGCAGCAGCAACAATATAGCGCTAATTCAAAACAAAATTAAAACAAATCTATTGAATCGTCTTTCAAGAGAAACAATTTATTTTCAGACAGGTGGATTTCAAGGGAAAACCAATATTACGCTGCAAAAAATTTTTTTACCCACAGAAGGAAAGCAGATTTGACAACTCTTCCAGAAATGTCTGTCCATGATATTGGGTGAGCAAATCCCCTCAGTCCCCCACTCCCTAAAACACCAACTGTGGAAATTATAGGTTATGATATAGGCGCTCAATATCTCTTAGGGCTACTTTTTGTCCATTTCGAGAACGATCTTTCCTTTCCTTTCCTTTCTTTTCCTTTCCTTACTTATCCATCCCAAGTGACCAATCACGCGTTCTTTAACTTGAGCCCCTGGATAAATAAAAACACATTACTACAGTACTCTTAACTTGCGGTTGGGCTGTTTTTTTTCCTGCCTGCACACAGCATTTCAGAGGACTATTTGTTAACTATTCATTAATGGAGCGAAGGGTAGAGAGGAGGTCTGGCTATTACACCCCATCCCACCCCCAGAACGGAATTTTGCAGCACTGGCTCTTTGAAACCTAAAACAATCCACATGGCGAAATGACGTTTAAAGGCTTTTCCTCTATCTCTCCCCCCCCCGCCCCTTCTACCTCCCCGTAGTCGGGAGCAAAATCGTGCTGGTTGAGAGCTTCAGGGGGAGATGAGAGCGAGCGAGGGAGCGCAAAAGCCAGTGAGTCAGATGCAAAAGTGTGTGTGATCCAAGCGATGAGCGTGAAACAAATAAGACCAATAAACCTGTTAGTAATGACAATTTTGAAAATGTCAGACACTGAAAGAAGCAACGAAAAGAAACCAGTCTCCTGTCTGAAGTCTTTCCCTGAGAAACCAAAATTGGATAATGCACTTTTCCTTCCTGGGAAGCGCCACTTCGAGAAATGTATTGTTTTTGTTTTGTTTTGTTAAACATTCTCGGATAGAAAAACAAAAACAAAACGAAATTCAGGCTTGTCTGAAATTGAGAATGAGGTCTCCAAATTATAAAAGGAGGTGTTCGCTGGAAGCTAGGAGGGGGCTAGGCAATTAGGTAGGAAAGGCGGTGGAAGAGTTAAGTCATTTGGGGCTGTTGATTCCAGTCTGAAGAAGCCATTCGAATATGCAGTTAGATATTTTCCTGTCTCCTACTTCAACGCTAAAAGGCAGGTGTAATAATAATTTGGGGTGTGTGTGTGTAAATCCTTAGAGGAATTAGTCCAGTAAGGCCGCAGTAGTGAAGATCGTAATTTGGAAATAAATGCCATTGAAAGCAATGAGATCTACTCCGCAGTCAACACGGCTTCGTTCCAGTTTCAACAACACAATCCTATAAATCAATGAAGTAAAATCTACCATGTGCAGCCCACAAATAAAAGCTTCAATGTTCCATGAGGCTTACTCCAAAGTAGGAGTACGGTCTCTGCCAACTTTTGGGAGGGCACCCTTTCGTCTAAGAAGTTCGTGTCCTCAACTCTGAACTCCGGAAATCGAACAGAGAATAGAATTTAGGGAACAGGAGTGAATTCGTATTATAGTAGCTTCGCCTGCGCTCACAACAGAGCCGGCAGCCGTTTCCTTTCGCTAGGCTACTATGCCTTTATTTTATAAAGTACGTGAAGTCAAGGCTACATTATTGGCTGGCGACGCAGAAGGTGGTCTAACTGAGAAAAATCCCCCACCTGCCGCATTTAAACATCTGGCACTTTCAGGGAATGTGGCAGCTTGTGATTTGTCAGTTCCAATCACTCCGTCTCTCTTTCTTGCTCGTTCTTTTCCCTTCTGCCCACAACAGGGAACACCTCTCGCCCCTATAAAACGGAGGAATAAATTAAATGACAACCCACACTCAGTAGTATTGTTGCTGTGTTTTATGTTATGTTTAAAAAAGAAAAAGAAAAGACAGATTATTTCCAAAGAGAAAGTCCTGCCTCAGATTTTACCGGCCAATATTTTTAGAGTTCTGTATTAGGGGGGGATCAAAAATAAGAGAAACTAAAATAGTTGGCGCAATGGGCGAATAAGATCTTTATCTTGGAATGAAGAAACCTGGAAACGATTACGGAGCTGCTGTTGCTGCTGGGATTGCTGTTATCCCATCACTATTATCATTATTAATTTGCATATTGTGTATCAGTGACAACAATAATAGAAGGAGGAAGAACAGGAAGAAGAAGAATTAGTTTATTGTTGCCACTACCGTGATAAAAGTAACTAGTTGTAGAGAACAACGGCAGAACAAATACAAGTACTATTAGTTTGAGCCCATCGTCCTTGGAAACGTGTGTTTCCCCGAAATGTCAGTGCCGGGGTTAAGATTTAGCAGGGCTAAACAGGTGCGTCCCTCTTTCGGGCGGAACCGGGCAGACTGGCTAATGCCACCCTTTGCCAACGGCGTTCGGGGTTAAACACGCGTCTTTTAAGGTCTGTTTCCGCCATCCCCTCCCCGGGGCGAAGAAACACGGAGGATTAGCGTCCCATGTTTACAGGAGTCCCATGATCTGCAGCTGGGTAACAACAACAAGGACAAAATAACCCCCACCCCACCCCACCTCTCCTCACCCCAAAAAACCCACCTTGGCCTCGCCCAACCTCAACGCCATGTGTGAGGAACGAAGTCACGGTAATTGTTTTTCCAATGGCGCTTGGGGAGAGGCAGAGAGCGCTCAAGGCCGCACGCTTACTTGGAAGTAAATCCCATTGCAGTCAGCGGGGACTTAATCCCCAGCAAACCAGCACGAGAAGGGCCTGCGTGGGAGGCAAGCTGGGAGGGCCTGGCTCGCTATCCGCCGTCTGTGACCGAAGGCTTCCTCTTCTCTCCGTCCCTGACACTGTGTACCCCTCACAAACAGCCGGGCAGGACGCGCTCAACTTTCTAGGCTAGATAAGGTCCGAGAGAGAGGGAGAGAGAGGAAGCGATAGCACAAGATCACCCACTGAGCCGAGATTCGAACCCACGACTCACACTCCTGTTGCCTCTGGAGCCGTCCGGGTTCCTCCCATACCGGACTCAGGGAGAGCGGGAAAGAGGCGATCGATGGCCACTTTCTCTGCGTCTCTCTTTTTCTGCACCCCCTTGGTCGCGGCCCCGTCCCTGAGAAAGCGGCCCCAGGGTCTCCTCGCCGGCCGGGGGAGGCCTGCCAGGAGCGATCCCACCTCGGATCTGCGCTCCGAGGCCGGATCCGCCTCCTCCTCTTCCTCCCGCTCAGCCAGGAGACATTCAGCGCCCCCCCCCGCCTCGTGTAGCTCTTCCTCCCCCTTTCTGAAGCGCCCCCTCCTCGCCGCTCATACACCTTGAGCGGCCTCCACTCGGCCCCGCTCCTTCCTCTAAAGAGAGTTCGGGTTTCGGATGCCACCAAAGAAGGCAGGGCTGGGCGGGCGGCGGCGGCGGGGGGGGGTCCCCTGCGGGAGCTTGGGAGCCGGGAGGGGAGACCTGTCAGGGCCTGGCCTCCGGTGCCAATCACCTTCCTCTCCTCCCCACCCCCCACCCCCATATTCTCAAATGAGAAAGGGAGCGGGGCTTCCCGAGTCGGGTTCTGCTCCCTGCCCCAGACGTGGTCTTTCCACTCTGTACATGCTTGGGCGCACTCTCGACGCTGAGTCTGGTTCTGAGGAGCAAAGCGTGCGTGTGCCGGAGGCCCTGCCCCGAAGCGGTAGGGCAGAAGGCTCTTCCTTGGCGAGTCACGGCAAAGGTCAAGCGCCTGCTGCCCTCCCCCCCCACGAGGGCGAAGAGCGGCCCGCAGTCTCGCGATCCGTTCCCACGAGAGACGGCTCGCGTGTCCGCTCGAGCTGGGGTTACCTCCGCGCCGGCCGGTTTCTCAGTGAAGCCGAGCCGGTCCTTCAGAAGAACGAGCCCTGCCCGTCCGGCCAGCAAGGGAGACGCGCGGAGGCGACGCGGATGCGCGCTCCTTCCGCTCGGCCGGCGCGGCGTGTCGGCCACTCGGGGCCTTTCCCAGCCCTCGCTGCGCCCCTGCCTTGTCTTAACAGCCTGCCAATCGGTCCAAGAAAGGACCGGAGTAGCCTCGGGGAGAGAAGCCGGGCAGCCTTCTCGAGGGAGGCGGGGAAGCAGGGGAAAGGGAGCAGCCCTGAGACGCAGGCGGTGCAGCTGCTGAGGAAGCCGCTGGACGGCAAAGGCGGAGGTTAGGATTAAGAAGAGGAGCGAGGAGGAAGCGTTCAGGTTAGCCGGCCATCCCGGACTGCGGAGTTGCGCCGCCGTAGCTGCCGCGGGGAAGCGAAGAGCTCCGGCGCCCCCTGGAGGCCTCGGCTGTCTTTGCTCACGCCGGGGCGCAAGGCTGAACGCCAAGGTACTGTACCGGAGGCTCGCCTTTTTCAGCCTCCGCCGCCGCAACAGATGCCCTTAGGCCCGGCCGAGGTTAAGGCCAGCCCG